AAGATTTATTTGCTAAATTTAAACACAAAATCTAAACAACTTTAAAACAACTTCTAACTAAGTCCACATAATCTTAACTTCTAACTAATTCAACAACTTCCCTGTTGAAATGAAGATAGAAATATGATGTGTCAATGAGCCTTATATAATTAGGGGGTTTTAGTCACATTTCAAATGCCATGATTTGGAGGGAACAAGTTTGAGGTTAGGATAGAATATTGTTCATTCTTTCACAATCATAATATTTGGAGGAAGCAAAATTTTTTAGGGCAAACCACAAGCAAACGAAATTTGGAATTTCCCTCCCATGATCAATGGACAAAAATTAAGGCTAGGATATAAATAGAGAAGAGAGAAGAGACAGACAAAGAAACTTAAGACAACCAAACCTAGAGACCACAATTCCTTGACAAGTTTCTTATATTTGAGAATGACAATTGTATTCCTCCATCAATCAATCGTTTTCTTTGTTGTTCTCCTAGCTTTTGGAGACCCTTGCTTTCCACAAATACCACTCTTCCACAATTTTTCTCTTTGAGCATATTCCTCTTGCAAAACTTCCTGTTGAACCACTCTCCTTTGACTTTTCTAATGTGTGCCTTTTCATTGTCAATGAAGATTGATTTCTATTCGTCTATAACTTTTCAGTCTGCGGCTTCTCCTTTTAAACAATGCAATTTTGACTAGAACTCTGACCTCCCAAATCTATCTCTCCTTAATTGATGTAATTTCTAGTGTGACTAAAACCATTAGTTTTCCTTTTTTTAAAAAATTTATAGCTAGCTACTTGTGCTCATGTGTACCTTTATTTTTACAACTAAACGTCACATTTCTATCTTCATTTTAATAGAAATTTGACAGAAAGGTCGTTTAATTGAAACCTACTTTAAAGTTCAATCACATTTCATACGATTTAACCTTTTTCATATTACTAGGTTTTTGATGTAATGTCCCAATATTATCGTATCCTCATTATTATTTCAAGGGTACCATTACCCTTATATTTGTTATCACATCCTTCAACGTTCTAGGCACCTGCATCATTTTTCTATACTAATTTAGCTATTTTCATTGAACTCAGAAACCTTCTTACTTTGGAAAAGTGGTGAGCCTGTTGTCCACCGTTGGAGTTGTTACTTCTTATGATTGCAATACTATAAAGGTAGGTGGTAATGCAACAACGTACTTGAATGGATATTTGGTTTGTAGATTAGATGCCTTCTTGTACTAGCTATGTTTTCATGAATCTTCCCTTTATCTAGTTCATGCCTAATTGAATATTTTCTCCCAGCTAAAATCCGGTCTCCTACTCTTTTTTTGCTATAAACTTTTCATTGATGATTGGAGAGTAGTATGTTAAAATATTACAAATTCCCTTAGGAGTAAAGTGAAAAATGAAAATGATTAACCGAACTATAACATACTTGTGACTGAATTCATAATCAATACCTGAACTTTTGAGTTTTTTGAGTATAACATACCTGAAGTCTTCTGTCATGTGGAGTTATGTGTGTTTATCATATCATAGACTCACAATGAGGACATAATGGGATTCTTTTTTAACAAGAGACAAAATTTTCATTGTCTTTTTATTATTATTATTTTTTTATTATTGTTGTTTTTCTCGCTCCCTTTGAACTTTTTTTTAAATCTTTTTATTATATCAATGAGATGTTCGTATCTTGTCAAGAAAGAAAAAAGGGAGGAATTAATATTATAGGAGTTCAAACACAAGACCTCTTTTTTTGATATGTGATATCCCATTGAATCATCACTGAATCCAAAAGCATAAATTGATAGATTTCGATAAATTCAATCATTTATCAGTACTTTATAAGGGAGAAACAACAAAGCTTCCTTGACAATCTCACATGACAAGAGACAACTCTTTTGGAGGCATCATCGACTGTTAGATACAATTTTTTTGACATTGAATGTCAAGAGGGATTGGTCATTGAAGAAAATAGCCCTCGTCAAACAGACCATCTTCCATATCAATTCAAACTTTGTGATGCTACCAGAAACAAAATTCAGTAACTGTGACAAAATCATAAAGCCCCTTGACGTTCTCATGGTATCAGCTGGGCAGCTCTAGATGTTGTAAGAACGACATGAGATATCCTTATTCTTTACCCCTCTTTCTCTATCAAAGAGGTCATTTAAGGTGCTTTCTCTTTCTGTGCATTTTTTTTCTTTCTAACAGTTTCTCCTTTTGGATTCCTGGCTTTTAAAGCTCAACCGATCTAGTTTTAAGATGTTGATAATTTCAAGTCTACTTCTTAAAATTAGGGCTGCATATAATTTTTATTTATTTATTTTTAAAGGAAACAAACTTTCCATTGATATTGAAATAGAAGATATGTTTGAACAAAAGAACATATACAAAATGGGGGAGATGAGGTATCCACACAGAGCTAAAAGGTTAAAAAAATTATCAACAGTAGAAATCATAGTGCAAAACTCCTGTTAGGAAGATTACAAAGAGCCCCTCAAGCAGAGCACTAATTACAAAAAGCCCATCAAACAAAATTTTCATTTATTTTCTAAATTCGCATGCGAATTAGTAGGAGGTTATAACTTGATGACTTTTTGGCATAATAAATATTCATAGTTAAGGGAAGTGAGTTCTCCTTCTCCGACTTCCTTCCTTTGCTTTTTAACTGTAGAGATTAAGGTATTAAAGTCTATATATATAGACAAATATACAAGGTTGACCTAATCCTATAAGGAGAAGGTAAAGGACAAATTAATATTAACACAAAAATATAAAATATACTAATATATACTGTAACACTCCCCCTCAAGTTGGTGCATATATGTTAATCATGCCCAACTTGTTAGACAAATAATCTATTCGTGCTTCATTCAACTTGTGTTCTGTGATTTTTGATATCATTGGGATCACCTCAGAAGTTACGATTGATTTCTTCTCAGCCATAACAAACAAGCAAACTTATTTGAACAAAACGATAGAATCAGACCAAACCACCCGAACCAAACAAAATAGATGAATCAAACGGTTGGAACCAAACCGGATTAGGTGTTTTCTAAAACCAGAAACCCCAAGTGCTCCCCCACGACAACCAGAGGGGCGAAGGCGATTGGCGGTGAAGGAAGCGCACCGCGACGAAGGTGCGAAGGACGGCGAGACGAAACCCACGAATAACAATTGGAAAAACAACTGGCAAATCAGCAAACGACGGCGGCGGTGGTCGTGATAGGCGGTGACGACGGTGGCAGTGGTGGTCGGCGGCAACCGGCGGCGGTGGTCGGCGGCGACCGGCAGTGGCGGTGATGGTCGGCGGTGGTCGGCAGCGGCGGTCATAGTGTTGGATAGCAATAAACAAAACCCTAAGGCACAAAACCCTAATGGGCACAAAACCTAATGGGCACCAAAACCTTAATAGGCACAAAAGCTAAAGCTCTGATACCATGTAGAGACTAAGGTTGGAGAGAATCCAATGTTCTGTATTCTCATTATTAAAGTCTATATATATAGAGACAAATATACAAGGTTGACCTAATCCTATAAGGAGAAGGTAAAAGACAAATTAATATTAACACAAAAATATAAAATATACTAATATATACTCTAACATTAACAACTAAACTGATACTAAGGGAAAGGGTATGGTAAGCATTATAAAATTTTTGGGTAATTGTAATGGGTGGCAAATGATTTTGCCATATTTGCAATTATAGAACAAGGAATTAGGTTCTGCAAATATGACAATTTTTTATAGGGCAGACGCAGACGTCTATCATTGATAGATGTAAGCGAGAAAATTGTGTCATAATTGCAAATCTTTTTAGCTTGTGCTAGATTAGCTAATGTTTTGGGCCGCATTGTTGTATGTGCAATTGCCCCTAAGATTTTCTTTTTTACTTGTTCTTTTGAATCTTATGTGAATCGTCAATATTTTTCTTTAGTTAAAAAGATTGGATGATTTGAAAGAGACTGGAGCTAGAAAACTCAGAACCTATGTCGAGAGGTCCATAGAAGCTGCTTACAAAGAGGTACACCAAGATATATGACACTGACAGTATCCTAATGTAATTAAAAGGGAAAGCGTAGTTTCTTTGCAATTTATAATGATTTTAATCTACTTACTTGGTTAGGCAGAAAATAATGTACATTCTCAATCCGGAGAGAGAGTACATTCTCTGGCTCTGCTTGCAAATAGACTACGATTGGTTGCTGAGAACGAAATTACTGTATTCTTCCCAGCGTTGCGTCAGTTATGTCCTGATTCTGGGATAATTGCAGCCATGCTACTGCACCAGTATTATGGAGAAAGATTGGTTTGTTTCGTTAATTCCTTTTGTGATTTTTTTTGTCCTGCCAATGCAGGTTTTCTTCTATTTCCTTTTGTACTTATTCTGGATGTATATTTCATTAAAATGCAGAAGCCATTCCTTAAGGAAGTATCGAATCTTTCTGATGATGTAAGGTCAGTGCTTCCAGCTGCTTATTTCTTAGATCGTGACCTAACTCATCTATTTACCTCTGCTTCCAAAGAAAGTAGATTAAGTTCCCTTCTCAAGGAAGACCTTGACCATTATCCGGTCAGCCAATCTTTTCCCTTTTTACAATATAACATCTGATGTGTAATTCTTGTATTTGAATTTTTTTTTATTCTGTTTGCTTTTGGCCATTTTGAACTCAAGATAACGTAATATAGCAAGTCAAAATCATCCTTACATTATTAGGAATTTGGATACGCAAATCAATTTGGATCATATTAGAACTCTCCATCCTATTTGAAGAAGTGCATTGTTTAAACACCCTAATTTTGACTTTGATGGAACGATCATCTAACAAGTTTTCACCTCTGGTCCAAGAATTTGAATTATGGTTTTTGATTAGCTTTATAACCTACATAATGAGATGTTATGTTCCATTAATACCTTTGTAGACTATATGTATATGTATATATGCATCGGACGTATCCATATTTTATTTTCTTCATATCTTTGTACCTTACGTATCCATGTATTAATTTTGTGAATGATCATGTGTTGGTGTGTCTTGCATTTTATTACATTCATGCTGTCTTGTGTTTGCAATTTTGTATTTCTTAGATGCTTTCTATTTGAGAAGGTTAGCTGTTTGCACTTTCTATTATATTGTTGTCTGGCAGATTGTAAAAAACACGTAGAATTCTTGATTGGATGGTCTATGAACTTGAACAAAACTCAGATAGGACTGGACACGTTTGCTTAATTCCTACTTCCTAGTATATAAAATATTTTTCCCTGCTTGTTCTTTATGCATCCATGTTTTAATTTTGTGAACAATCAGTATATGATGTGTTTGAGTTGTGTTTGTTAAATTGTGGGGCCCATTCTTGCAAGCTGGATAATTTGTCTCCAACTATTCCTTTCCAGCACATTATTCTTTCAGGATAAACACTTTTCAGTTCATCAGGTTTCACAAGTAGTCTCTAATTTCCGAAATATTATAACTAAATCTATGAGGTTCTGCAGATGTTCCAAAATAGTTTTTGAGGTTATTTTTTAGTAAGTTGCTTCAATAGAAAGATGACATGACATTTTTAAATTGATTTTAGCGTTGTTGATGGAAAAAACAATTATTTTATAATATTTGTAGGATAATTTGGCAAAAAATATAAAAAAATTGTCTCCTGTTGTTATTGCCCTGCCTCATCTCCCCATTGCTTTGCCTCCCTGGCCCACTGTTATCACCCTCATCCCCTTTTCACCTTTCCACCCATGTCATCATGGAATTGCTGAACCTTTCTCTTTCCACTCAAATCTTTGAGCCTGAACGCATACCCCCTCGAGATCTGAATTTTCCATTCCAAATCTGAAAACTGAGCATGAGGGGGCGATGGGGTTGTGATGGTGGCAGCTGTGAGGGACAATGGGGGTACAACAACATGGGGGGGTGATGGGGCGGGGTGGGGGTAGGGTGAGGGGAAGAGATTGAGATGAAAGGGGGAAGGGAAGAGAGAATTGAGTTTTGTTTTTCTTTTTGTATTTTTTTGCTGGCTCAACCAAAAAAATACAATGTTATATGGGAAAAAAATCTATTTTCCCTTGATTTTGGCAAGGTTATCTTTTCCCTTTCAATTTCACCCAATTGGATTTTAAACTTAGTCTAATATTGTAATTTTTTCTTTTTAATAGACTTTTGTTTAAGAGTTATTAAAAAATATATTTTTATGTACTTTCATAGGCTTTCAAAGAATCGCGACATTAGAAGTGGATTTTTATTGAAATTTGTAAGTTTTTGGAGGTTGATTATTTTTTATTGAACATGTGTATGGATAAAGCTTAATTTTGTGCAAGGTCTCTGTTAGTGGGTTCGGGAAAAATTTTTACCTAGCTTTTTTTATTTTTTAAATAGAGGGGGTGAGTGCGGTTGAAATTGAATTGAAGATAAAAATTGAAATACTTGTAAGTTTAGGATTCAATTTGATGAAATTGAATGTTTATGGTGAAAATTGATATTTGGCTTAGTGGTCAATGAGGGCCAATATAAACCATAAAGGGTTTAGAGGGCAATATAAACCGTAAAGGGTTTAGAGGGAATGGTTCATGGTAGCCACCTACCTAGGATTTAATATTCTACAATTATCCTGGCAACCAAATATAATCGGATCAGGTGGTGGTTGACAGACACGTTATCAAAGAAAAAGAGAGGGAAAAATCATCACTCTCATCTACACTCCACTCCCTCGAGATTCCAACCGTTGATATTTCTATTATAGTCTTGAATTTTTTTTTTTTTTTAACTTCTACAATATTTTCTCTCCTTGTAAAATATTTTACTATTGCTTATTTCTTTTGTAAACTCTCGGTAGGCTTGTATTTATTAGGTTGTAATCTGTTTTGGATGTATGAAATTGATTGGAGTTTTTATCTCTTCAATAACGGCAGTGTTATATTCATGTTTAGTGTTGTATTTACTTGTTAGATCCTCTCAATATATCAGGCAGGTAATCTGTTTGTTTATTTCCTCTCTGTCTTTTGGCAGATTGTACAAATTGCTAAGCCTATAATTCTTGACTGGATGATCGATCAACTGGAACAAACCTCAGAATGGACTGGACGTGCTTTCAAGTTAGAGGTTTGTTATTTGCAGACCAATTTTTCTAATTTAGCAATAAGTGCAAGGTTTAAAATTCCGATTCCTTTTTTTTTATTAATTTTTTTTAAAGATCTCCAATAGACGGAAAGGTTGAAGTCTTCATTTTATAGAAATATCGATGGAAATTTTGGTAAAAATTATGGAAACCATGGAAAATTATGAAAAATTGTTTGCATTAGTAGATGTGCTTTAATTGTTGTTTAATTATGCTATAATTGACCATTTTGAGTTATTATGTGTAAAACTATAAGTAATATTTATTTGGAAATATCAATGTCAATAAAATTTTTTGAAAAAGCATAGAAATTGGTGAAAAGTTCTTGAATTAGTAAATGAAACTTTAATTTTAGCTTAACTAGGATATACTGGACCATTTTTTAATCTGATATGTAAAAGCCATGAATGTGAAATATTTGTAACATATTTGAAAAATATATGAAATATTATCATCTTCAACTTCTTCCTGAATTTTGTCGTCATTTTATTTGATTTTGTTGTGTATAACCACTGTAGAAGAGTTGAAGAAAGAGGTAATAAAGAGCAGAGAGTGAAAGAAACTTAATTTATGCTTTGTTTGTTACTCATAAGCTCAGTAAAGTTTTAAATAGTTGATTTATTAAAATGTTAAGGATACAATTTAAGCCTAGAATTTATGGGTAAAAGAAATCTTAATTGAATAAGAGAAAGTATAATTATAAATTAATTACTTTCTAAATTAATCCTGAGTTGTT